AAGACACCGTTAGGATTTAACACTGACGCCCCGAAGAAACCGTTTACGTGACTTTCTCACTGATCGACCTAGGCATCAGGTGTGCGACGTGACAATCTGGTGGTAGAACCACGAAGTATTCAAGTTCGTCGACTCGTCTTCCCTCTTCTTGTGTGGGACTCCAGCTCCAGTTGCAGATTGCCATGCCCTACGAGATTTGCATTAATTATATCCAGATTTCTGATCATGTGGACCGGTCCACCAACTCAACTACTACTAACACTCGGTCTTCAGCGATATGGACGTCGTGGTTCAGCACCGAGCAGCCGAATTTGTCGAGAAGTACTGCAAACAACAGTTCACGAGCTGTGGACGATCTGTCCACAATCTGACCATTCTCCCCTGGTTGGCGTCAAACGCTGCTGCCAGATCAGAAGTTTCCAAAGTGCCTATGACAGCATTTGGTTATGTTTAGTCATTTACACTGACATCAAAAGTTTGACGAACGTTAGTGCCGAATCCACTCCACCCCCACACCGCTTCCACCATCACAGTGACCTCCGTGTAACCTTTTAAATCCGGCGCTAAGACAAACTTGTTTTATTTCTTTGACCTCTGACCGAAATTCCGTGCAAAATCACGGCAGCAGTAGCAGCAGTATCAAGTCGCCATAGCAAGATGAGTCGTAGCAACACAGCGCGAAACAGCGATTCTGATGCAAACTGCGCACAATCAAGTAGTTGAGCAGGTGGAGTTTGAGTAGATTTTGGTATCTGCGCAACCACTGCTACTTGCTTTACCCTCTTGTCAGATTATATTGGAGCTACAAATGTGCCTTTGTTCGACCAGCCAATAGGCATTCAAAAACGTTCGGGAATTGTCCTCATTGGTCATGAGTGAATTGATCTCAAGTTCAGCGTTTAACCGCTTGTCAATTGGCGATTTCCTTTCTCTTGTAAGTTTCAATCACGCGCATTGCATTTGTGCAAATACAAGCACGTGCTAGAGCTAAAGTTGTCGAATCGGCATTTATTTCGGCCTCATTGTATCGCCGTTTGAGAACCCCTTCTGGTCCGACCTCCACACCAACCCACATTATTGAATCGTACTCATCGAATTTCGAACTCATTTTCAATTTTTTGTACGCAACCCAACCACATTAAAAAGGGCAGATTATGGTCACTTAGAATCGGAATGCTTTGCGACTTTCAGTAGGCAAGACATTGAACTTCAGCTGTTAGTTTGTCCACCACGGTGGAAGAATCACGTCTTCTTCAAGATAGCGTCCAGAGACAGGTAGGCTAGCTTCGAACGTCGCTAAGCACACCACCATGTCGAGGGCGGTGGGACGTTAGCCTAATTGATTGAGTGTGATTGACTTTGGGATGAATAGGACTGTTGCAAATGCGTAGAACGCTACCTACACCTGGCATTGCACGAATTTTCTTCTCAGCGCGAAGAAAATTTTCTCTAAAAGCCAATTACACCCTCTTCATGGGAGGGACGTTCTGGGTCGAATTTTTGTGGACCCACTGTTCCTTCCCTCCTCCTCCTCCTCCTCCTCCCCCCTCCTCCCCCTGCTCCTCTTCCTCCTGTCATTTTTCGCTTTTTACCTCGTTTTCTCTCGTCAGTTGCAACACGGTTTCCCGTCAGCTGTTCCTCGTGCCCGGGGCCACCAGCAACGCTGTGCCTCTGTGTGTGTGTGTGTGCGTGTGGAGTGCATGAAATTTCCTCTAACGACCCTTACGTGTGTGTGTGTGAGTGTGTATTTGCATTTCTCAGGCTTCTCTTTCCAGCAAACAGTCCGAAGTTGGGTCCTTTTTGCAAGGTCCGGCTCTACTTAATTGAATTAGTAGACATGGGTTGGGTTTGGGGCTAATTGGCCCAGTGACACTGTGCCCACCAATCACGAATCATCGTCTTCGTGGTTGTGGGGGAGTGGCTCGTCACTGGAGCTCAACTCACGCAACACCCATGGTTGGAGAGGTATCAATTTCTTCGATGGTCTGCCTCTGTACAACCACAAATAGCGCACACCATGAAGAATGGACTTCATATAGAAACGACAGATTCACTCACAGTAAAGTCCTTGTTTATTCCGAGTCAGTGGAGAAGTTTCCACGTGTTGGAAAACTTGTCCACTGATCCAACTATCGAAACTGGACCAAAACGTCGGAGTGAAAAGTGAGTTTGAATCGTGAACACCTTAAATCCGTAATCACAGTTCGTCAGTGCTCGATCAAAAGTCTGCATTTCGGGGGAAGAGTTCGAAAAACAACTTTTGATAAACAAACAAATCCGAATTCCTCACAAGCGAAACTGCCTAGGCGCAAAATTAAAACCTCCCGTATGAAAAGAATAATCCAGCGAAATTGTCCAATTGCCTAAATTGTGCATTCAAAATTGGCTAATTTTGGAGAAGGTCATTTAAACCTCCTAGGGGATCTGACGTCGAAGTTCTGAAGTACACTAAGATCCGGAATGTTAAATGGCATTTGTTTGAATGCACTAAAGTGTTATTTACTAAAAATACGGGCGCTTACTTGAAGCATCATTCACTAGCAGATGGAACAACTTAACCGAGCTAAAAAGGTTTTGAGAGGGATCTCATCTTCCAGCTGTCAGTCGATGGTTTCCAACATTAACTGGAAGCCATCCGCCATCATCAGCTTCCTAAGGGTGACGATATCATCTTCGCACGACCTGGCTACACCCTCCAGCCTTTCTTGAATGATCTAGAAGGTGTTGATCGTCGAAACAGTCTAATCCAAGTGGCCAAGTCGTTTTAACCTACCCAACTGCACTCCTGGATGACGACAATGGCAGATGTGCTGGAGGTTCCAGGCAGCGTGTGGTCGGGGCATCACACGGTCAGACAGTTGTGCTAGCTGGTAACTAAGCCGGTCAGCGATCCACCTTGGTTAGGTTGCACATTTGTCATAATTTTAGCGCCTTGGATACCTTGCGGGCATGTCAATTGGGCCTCTAGCGTAAGACATAACATTGGCGAAAATGTCGGCACGAAAAACTGTGTCTAATCACCTCCTAGTTCCGCATTTTGCCTTTTTTTTCCCCTCTCATTTGCCACACGAGAGAACTGGTGATTTCTCGTGCCTCCCTTAGCGTGCCTAAACGTCTAATGGGCTTCCAACTGTTCAAATTGTAGCCAGCTAACCGTCTGCCCGCTCCCTTTTTCCGTGAACCCCCTGATCCGACTCAAGGCGGTGTCAGGCTCTATCAATAAGATCGATACCTCTAGCGACTTGAGCGTGATTTACTTCGTCAGACGGTGTTCTAGCGGGCGTCCGACCACAACAACGACTGTCACACCAACAAAACAAGTTAACAGTACGACACGGACGCCTACCATGCACACACACTGTGCAAATTGAGGTGAACAAGGGAGCGGGGGGTGGTAGGTGATGCTGTGTGTGGAGTGGACGGGGAGGCCAGAAGTGGTGGGTGGGGGAGGGGGGAGGGGGTGCCGCAGACGTGAGCAGCTTCGCCTAAACCCAATCCGTACCTACAAGGGGGCGCGGAGAGCGAGAGTCTGGGAGGCGTGCGCGCACGTTAAAAAAGGCGCCACCGTGCTCAACGCGTCTCTGCCACTCAAACTGACCATGCAGGGTTCCTTTAATGTTCCCCCGCCCCCCCCCCCGCCCTCCACCGTCCTCCAACTTCAGCCGAGATTTTTTGCCTTGGTTCCCATATCACTCACTTGGAATTCACGCCAAAAGTTTTCGTTTGATGACGCCTCACACAATTAAAAGCCTAAATTAAATCTGACGCGAAAATCCCCCGACTGACTGAGGGCAGAGTCCTTATTGGCACCCTTACCCCGTGACCTGATTGGCTGATCAAAACGAGATCCTGCATCATGAGCGGATTCAAATATTTCCTTTAGAATCTACCAGTCTTAATAATGCCAATTTGCAGACTAATTAGCTGGCGGTTTGGGTGCGTCTTATGTCTGAACGAGATTTTCCCCATAAAATTGGCAAATTTTGTGACGCTTTTTACGTAAGGATCCACAACGACATTTTCGATCACACTTAGATAGGGGGGGGGACGACATTCCCACTGTTTTTTTTTCAAAATTCATTGTAATTATCCATGAGTAGACGAGGCAAATCACTCATAATTCAACGGCTACCACCAAACAATCTTAATGCCCATTCACAGAGACCCTTTTCACTTGCAAATACTCCGCCAAAGTGATTAGGAACCATGGCCAATCATTTTAAATTATATTTAAAATGGAAATATTTTCACGGTTTTTTCTGGCTTTGGAAGAACCTCAAGCAAGGTTTCAGAACACCGAACGACAGACCTGCGTGATTTACTTAACCTCTCGGAATTGTGGAGTTTACGATGGCAACTGATAAACAGCACATTCGATGGCGCTGCATTTCAAACGAATTCCAACAAGGAAAGTATGCTTTTATAGCGCGGGGAAATTAATTTGTAGAGTTCTCGGTGGCGAGGTTGTTTCTCATGAAACGTAAGTTTCGTTACAAAGTTTTAGAAATGATGATTTCGATCTTGTTGACCAGCCGCACCAAAGACAGCAGCCTCGTATCGCAAGCTCTACCGGACGAAGACTCAACGCAAATGCAGCGAAAGCTTGCAGCTCAATTAGGCGTCACCCAAACAGCTATTAACAGGCGTTTGCACAACCAAGTGGGAAAAATTCAAAAACTAGGAAGCTGGATCCTCCACGTGTATTGACCAAACGCAACCGAAGTCACCACATGAACACACATTTTTGTGTGATTATTAAAGGCCATTTGTAGAATTCGCTTTTATGATGACGATGATGTGTGGAAAAGGCGCATCTTTCCACGCCAACTTGTGCCAATTGCCAATCCGAAGAGATTTTTGTGTTCCAACTTTACGGACACAGAAACTAGGGCCAGTGCAGGGAGAGTAAAAGCATTCTCTGTTTGCCGAAATTTCGTGGCATGATGGCGTCACAAGTAAGGTGGAGTTTACTCTTGAAACAGGCTCACCCTACGCCTACTTATGCGATCCAGAAACCCTTCGACGACCGGTGTGCTTCACTAGTCTTCTTTGATTGGCCAAGAGGAGGAATGTAGTTGAGAGAGATGATGTAACCTAAAGCCCTTGAATCAGGGCTCACCAGATAGCCTTAACCGCTTGGGGGAACGTTAGAATCACACGGTTTTTGGCTCTTGTCTGCCCACATACCCCGCCGCTTCGTGCAGGCCAGCTGGGAGTGATTTTTTAAACCCACATCCACCACCACCACCAGCTTCTCAAGCCATGCCCTCCTTTTTCCAACCACAGCATGTCCAGGCAGGTTTAGGGGTGTGGGGGTGGTGGCAGAGAGGGGCCGGGAGGCGGCCGCACACAATTGAGCAGTCCGCCAGTCTCAATTACCCCCATGGCTGATACAACCACCACGGCGACGGCTCCCAAGATGCCGGACACGCCCTGGTTATCCGCTATTGATCCGTGTGCGTGCATGCGTGAATGCGTGCGTACGTGCGTGCGTGAACAGGCACGCCCCTAGACAAGTCTTACCTACCAGCAAGTTGGTGTGGGATTGAGAGCTTGTGTACTCAGCATCAAGGTAGACGGTCATTAAACCACTCACACTCACACACACACAAGCGTCTGACGTGCTACCGTGAGTGATCAATTAACGCCAGACCCGCGAGAGGAGTTTAGGGGAGAATGAGGTATAAATCAAGAGGTACTCGGTAGCGGGGAGGAGGGGGTGGAGGATCCAAGGCGGGCGCGCATTCGCTGCGTGCCTGT